TGTTATTGCCTGAAAGTTTCGAATAATGAAATTTCTACATAAAAATGTAATTGAAAATACTCACTCGGATTTGGAAATAACCGAGCCAACTCAGGTTTAATACTATTTTCCAATAAATCTAAATACGCCGGACCGTTTAAGTTTCCCTCAATGAAAAAGGGACCAATTATTTTGTCGCCTATTATTCCAGCCCATACATTCAGCTTTTGTGGATATTGGGTGTGGGATTCACGCATCCAACGAGGATTATTACGTGACCAGTATCTACAATTCTGCCGATTTACGTTTCCATTGATCAAAAAAGTGGCCTCATCGCAAAACATAACATTACTTAAAAAATTTGGATCGTTTTGATTCTAACATTTTTCATCATTATGTCTGCAAACTCTTCACGTCTATCGAAATCATCATCTGACAACTCTTGAACTAATCTTATTTTGTATGGATGGAATTTATTTTCACGTAAAATTTTCCTTACGGATGTTTGCGAAATATCAAGTTCCCTGGATATTTGTCTAGTACTCAAGTGTGGATTGTCTTCCAACAGGACACAAACATCTAAAGATTCGTTTTCAGTTGATGCAGTTTTTCTGCGTCCTGATTTGGATAAATCTTTCACTGAGCCAGTTTCGTTTAACTTTTTTACTAATTTACTGACAGTAGATCTCATTTCGTTATTTTTCAGATATACGATCCATTGTAACTTTCACTGAACACTAACAATACTAATTTATTGAAACGTCAAAGTTGTTATTGTAGCAGTCATAGCCATCTAACTGTATTATTTCAACTTCGGCGAAGATAATGTAAATGTAGCTATAACTCCGAAATCATGGCATTTAGGTATAGGGAACATGACAGGATAAATATTCAGTATTTCTTAAGGATTTCAAAAAGCAAAAAATATACAGGGTGATCCATTTGAAATAACAAAGTTCATTATTATTCCGGAAAAAGGAGAGATCTGACAACAATGTAAATACCACCATAATACAATGAACTCAATGCAACATTTAATTTACATTTACATTCAGTTCATTGCCATAATATCGGCCGCATCACAAGACCCTTGCACACCAAAATCTATAAAAATCGTGCAATCCGTTTCCGAGATAATTGAGGCGTTCCATACATAAAACTCACTCTGTATGTTATGATCATAACAATATTATAATCTTATATTATATCTTATATATTATATAATGTTATAACAAGATCCGAACAGAATCGACCCGATTGACTACCATTTATTGCCATGAAAGTCAAGTATCATAGCCAATGCTTTGTATCAAATCGGAAACATTATAGAGGATCACAGAGTGAGAATAAAGTTGTCAGTACCACACATGACAGAGAATTTGATAATCTGATGAATTAACAGATGATGATTTTTTAATGGAAAAGGGTATACTTTCAACTGTTTATATCAAAAATATGTCGTACTTGGTGGCAAAACTGGTAGGAAAATCTTTATCAAAGAAATCTACGACAATGAGATAGAAATTATCAAATCAAAACGTTTTAATGAGTCGTATATTGTGATTCCTAAAGTGACAAAAACTCATCTGATTCATACACAAATAGAAGGAAATGAAATTACAGAAGATACTTCCCTGACTTTGCATGCATCAGATTAGACCTAGATACACAATTTTTTTTATATTAAGCAAGATATGAGAGATATTCCAGATTATAAACAACTCAAGAATATGGATGTCAAGGCTTACAAGGATATGATACCAAAAAAACTTTTTATTTCAATTAGTTGCCTTATACACGCTAAAGTTGATTCAGTTGGTTCAAAGGTGATGAGTATCTGTCAAGGTATTATATTTGCTGATTCGAAATTCAGAAAACTCACACCGAAACACGTTTGTTTGGGAATAATGATTCATCAAGACATGATAGAAAAAATCATCGAAGTTTCGTATTCTTGTGGACACTGTATGGTATAAAAATATTTCAAGACACCGCAACTTCGATAGGTACCAAATAATTTTTTTTTCAAGTTTCCACAAGGATATCTCATTTTCATTTCAATATTATGTGCATCATGTCCTGGTTCAATATTTCTCAATTTGTTAATAAATGAGATGGGTGACATTTTACTCTGATGGACAAAAAATGTACTTCTGAGATAGAATCATTCATAAAATGAATTGAGGTCACTTCCAATCAAACAGCTCGTTTAAAAAAATGTCTGTCAACTTGGAAAATAGCAATCGATTTCATTTCTCCCGTGAATTCCAAGATCGTACTATTCTTTAACACTCTGTAATTAGTATTTACGGTGATCGTACTATGACATGACTATGACGGCCGCAGGCGTTGCGGGGAAAATCGGGGTATGAAAGCGGCGAATCGCGGTCCTTCGTAGTACCTGCATTGGATTATGATTTTCCCAATATCTTCCTTATTTATACTTCGATTTTTAAATCGACATTATTTGAAGTATTTGTTTGATAAACGTTGTAGTTACTGAGATAATGCGAGGTATATGAAAAACAATTCAACGAAAATCCACAAATTTCGAGTTATGGCCGTTGGAAATATGATGTTCTCATACATCGTCATGTAATTAGTGGATTTTAAAAGTTAATTTGTTCTACTTGCCAAGCAAAATCAAGATTCAACAGGGTGGATATACTGAAACCCATCAATATTTTCCAGGAATAAAAAAATCAATATTTTATATAAATTACCCCCTACCCCCCAAAAGCACCAAACGATTTTTTGACGACAAGTGGATCCATGATCTGGAGATGATAGGTAACAATTCTAACCATGTCAAAGCTTTTTACCTCCGATTTCCTACGGGGTGAACGATAGGATTCGATTAGCACTCTACTATCAAGCAAAATCTATTGAACTTCATTTATATTTTATATTAGGTATTATTCGATATCTACTTCCTCCTGGAATTGAACAATCATTATTCTACTATAATGATATGTTATGAATTCTTACTTACAATACAAGTGTATTATATTTTATGCATTGAGTACACTGCGACCTAAAATATCTACAATACATGTATGCTATTTTTCTTAGAATTCAAATAATAATAGTTATTTATGTATCAAGGGCGTAAAATAGGCTTTTATGGACCGCAGCGTGTAAGTAATAGACCGAGCTATAGTGAGGGCTATTAACACGCCTAGGTGCATAAAAGCTAGTTACGCCGGAAATACATACATTTTATGCACGACCTGTATAAATTTGATATCTCTTCACCCATCAAGCACAATAAAAATACATCACGGTTGCAGTTGCATACAATTAATCAAGAAGTATGGAATCAACATTACCATGGCAACTCAGTTAATTTACTACTTTTCAGAATTTTAGTAATATGGAATCAGTTGGAATCAGCTACCTGCAACAGCAGAAGACAACAAATCCAAATATATCCATAACTAACTGTTCTGATTGTATTATAAATATTAAGTTATAACTCGTTATTTATGTTAATTGATTCGTTTTATTATTGTTAATAAAGTTTTGGGTTTGATCATATAATTTTGCATTACAAAAATATAAAGAAAACCTTAATATTCAAATGAGCACTCCTGTATAATTCAGATCTATTTTCCCAATCATTTTACATTAATTGAAACCATTGGAATCTAGATTTCTATCGATATGACAGTGACATTAGCTTTACCACCAGCTCAATGACTTTATCGCCCGCCGGGCGGTAAAGTAGTCCGCGGGCGGTAATGTGCCACTTTACGCCCGGTCGTGCATAAAGACAATTTTATTGCTGCCGATCAGAATATGTTAAAAAAAAACTTCTAGATCATCTATTTTGTGTAACGTTGAGAAAATATTTGAGTATCTCACTTTCACATGGAAACATCAAATGTTAAATGAAATCTTAAAAATAGCATTTCCATCATAATCAATATTAAAAAGGATTAGTAATCTTGAAACCGATACCATAATTCTGCTCAAGTTCTTGCTAATTGAATGCACCCAGAACACTTGAAACATGTCATTAAATGCTAATGAGGTGTATCCTTGGGTAAATCGACATTGTGCCTAAATGATGAATAGTGCATGGGCTTAAACAAAATATTCCAACATAGCTCAAGAGTCGTTATGATTTATTTGGGCCGCAGTGTACAAGGGCTAGTTTTATTAATGTGAACCCCCCCCTTTATCGTTTTTGTTTTCCACTCATTCAAAAAAATTCAAAGCTGATTTCATACAATTTTGAATACAGATTTCACTCATATCGACAATGTTGTAATATCTCTTCAAATATACAGGGTATACATAAAAATATTTTTTTTTTCAAATGGAATGCGCCGTAAATTCTGATAGATTTGAATTCCTCTTATATCGATTTCAAATATATGAAATAAGGGATTCATATCTATTGAAAAATACAGGGGCATTCCATTCAAAAAATATAAATATTTCTGTATACCCTGTATATTTGAAGAGATACTGCAACACTGTTACTGTGATTGGAAAGTGTATGAAAAATAATTGTACTAAATCAGTTTTAAATTATTTTGGATGTGTGGAAAACAAAAAAGATGAAAGAGTGGTTCACATGAAACTAGCCCTGTACATGTGCTGTCAAAAATTCGAATTGTGAGTGGTCCGTTAGTGTGTTGATAACTGTTGAATTTTTTCAATAAAAGTATTGGTATACCAAAAAATGATTTATTATGAAATGAACACAAATTACATTTAGTTGAAATGTAAGATAGAACGACTACAGGCTAAAATATATCAAACTAATACAATTCAAAAACTTTTAAGGACAAGGCACATCAAAAGTAAAATTACCGATCAACTGTTCATTTATTTGAAAATATATTGATTGAAATTGTCATACTGCAACAGCATTATCAAATTCTATTTTGAATTTCACTGAATTATATAACATACTGCATTGCCTCGCATACAGTAAACATGTGCCCAATAATATTAAAACACATCATCGACACACTGTACAAAACTTACTCAACTATATTCAGATAAAAAAATTAAGCCGGTTGTGAATGTGCCCCCTTCTTTCCAATCAGCGATTTATGGATGTGTGGGATAACACCACCTCCAGCAATGGTAGCTTTTATCAGACTGTCAAGTTCTTCATCTCCTCTGATGGCAAGCTGCAAATGGCGCGGAGTGATTCTTTTCACTTTCAAATCTTTACTAGCATTTCCTGCCAACTCCAACACCTATAAAAAAAAACTTGTTGAACACACAAATGTAAGTGACATTTCCAAGATATTTCTACTAGCAGGATATACTGTTTTAATTGGGGGTAAATTGACATTTTCTGTGGCATGTTTCTAGCTGTGAAAAAAAAATAAAGCGAATCCAGCAACAACAAAAAAGCCACACAAAGTACATTAGTTCCGAATGAAATGAAGCAATTTTCAAATTTTAAACATATGGAAAATTAATTTTATCTTCGTCAGAGGAGGTAGAAATAACACGTATCCGTTCGGCTAGTGAATGTCATGGGAATTACATTTTTCAACATCATGTATAATTTAGATGTGTTGAATTTCTATCATTTTTTTTTTTTTGTAAAAATTATCTCAATACATTCGCTCTGAGCACCTGATATTTCCATATTTACCTTTTCGTTTGTAGAAAATTATGCCCTCTTCCAATTTCGACGAAATAAGAAGATTATGAGATTATACCATAAGCGGCATAGGCATCAAACAATAACCAGTACTTTTAGAATTATCTTGAAAACAAATAATTTTATCGAAATTTTACAGGAAACAAAAAATACTCAAAAATGATTGAACACTTGAAGAAAAATAGATAGGAAGTCATTAGCGCACGTACAAAAAAAATGTGGGTGTGTACTTGACCCCCAGTATTTTGAATTTTTGACAGTTATTTTCTGTTTTGTTTTCCTTACACAATGTAACTCTTTGTGCTGAAGTAATGTACCAATTTTGAGATTAATATCTTATCAAATAAGCGAGTAATTGAATAAAACAGTATTGAATTTCCAACTTTGACACCCTGTATATCAAATAATCAAATATGAAGGGATAAAATAAAAAATGGTATTTAGAAACTCATATTGCTGTAGTAGTGCTGTATGGACGTGTTTCAAAGGTAGTACACAAAAAAGTTGTTTTTGTAGTATAAAACTGCATTGTTTATCACAAGTAGTGAAATTCGCTTATGAAATAACATGGGTGAAAAAAGTGGTGGTGATAAAAATTCTACAAGGATAAAACAGTTTGAAAGACGTCGTATATTTTCAAATTAATCTATTGAACTTTCCCAACACGACATAAATACAATTATAGGTATTCAATCAAAAGAACCGCGGACAAGTGATAAATATCTAAAAACAATGAAGGATAAAGATTTAGAAATATACGGTGGCACAAATAACAGAAACGAGGCAAATGAAGACATGGAATTACTGGCGGAAATTGATTCAAATGATGCAGAAAAAGTTCTCAAACCAGCAAAATCTATTCCACGTTCTTCCACTCAAAATATAATTATTCCAGCAAGTTCAGCACCTGTAATCAGTCAAGAGGGCACACAAAAACGCCCTAGGTCAGAGTCAAGTCCAGAGTTACAATTTACAAAGAGGCAATGTGAAGGAAAAAAAAATGCTACAGAAGATGATGACCAGCAAACAGTTAGACAAAATGAACTAACAAACTCACAAATGAACACTACTGAATGGCAATTAATGAATATAATGACAGCCATAGAGAAGATTGAAGAGGTTGCAAAAAAGGAGGTTCGGGTGATAGTGCAGATTACAATGAAAACAGTCAAAATGATCTAGCAGATGAAGTAAATCTTCTACAAAATAACTTAAGTGCTACTAGTTTATAAACTAGGTTCGCTGGAAAAAGAAAACTCACTGTAACAAAACGAATTCAAAATTAAAAATGTTGAAAATATCAATCAAAGGCAACTAGGTTATAGCAATGCAAATGACACGCAGAATAATGATGAGCAAAGAAAAAAGGGAACTCAGAAGACGTATGCCTGTGCTTTAACATCGACCGTAACACAAGAAAAAAGTATAGAAAGGGGAGACAGTGAAGAATGGAAAACACCTAAGACAAAAAAAAAGGCATCAGACTAAAAATCAAAAATATTACTGACTCTAGTTATACCATTAAAGAATTACGGAAAGAGATTGATACCAAACAAACTGAATGAGGATTTAAAAATATCAAAGGAATGAGAAATGGTGTCGTCATAGTTGAAAGCCATAACAGAAGCCAACAAGAAAAATTAAAAACAGAATCGAAAAACAAGTCATATAACAGTGAAAGAAACCAAAAATTTGGAGCCAATGTTCTTAATCACAGGTATAGAAAAAGGGTTTGAAGATGATAAAGAATTGATCAAAGAACTAGTCCGTCTCAATAGTGAGATAGAGCAAGAGCTTGGACAGGACATCCAGCAAGATATAAAAGTTATAGCAAGAAGGCAGTGTGGAAACCCAATTAAAGAAAATGTGGTACTCCAAGCACCTGCGCCTATATCAAAATTGTTTTTGAAAAAACAACTTGTTGATTTTGACCTAGTGAAAATTCATGTTCAGGAGCATTTTAACTTAGCAGTTTGTTTTAAATGCTGTGGTTTTGGACATGTTGCAAAGTATTGTGCAGCTAACGCATGTTGTCATAAATGCGGAGGACATGCTGGGAAGGATTGTACTGAGAATGAGTGGAAATGTCCTAACTGCGAGAAGATGAAATTTGGGGTAGCACAACACTCAGCAAGAGACATTAATTGTCCTGTTTACAAAAAAAGGCTTGAAAGATTTAAACAAAACATCAACTACGAAAGTGAGACTTTTTTACAATTTACCGAAGATTAACAAGCTACTAACATCAATAGATTAAGATCCAACGTAAAACTGCAAGAAATGAGTCTCATTCATCAGAATGTCCTGTCTCTAGGGAACAGTGTAGACAGACTTGAACATACGTTGAAAGATTATCCAGGCTGCAATTTTGTGTGCATTACAGAACACTGGAGGTCGGAATATCAGTTGAAGAAATTGAACATCAGAAACTTCAATCTAGCAAGTAGTTTTTGAAGACTTGAAGGACAGCATGGAGGAAGTGTAGTTTATGTGCGGAAAGGTATCAAATGCGTTGCGCGTGGAAAACTCGACAAGGTTTTTGTTATAGGAGAATTCGAGTGTGCTGTTGCTGAATGTACAGTTAATAAGCAACAAATTATCATTGCATCAATCTACAGACCACCAAGTGGTAATATCAAGATATTTTTCAGTAAACTAGAATGCTTACTGTCAAAATTATCGAACAACTATAGTTTACTTTTTAGGTAGGAGACCTGAATATTGAACCGGTGTGAAAATAGAAACGGTCGCCGTATCGGAAACGAAATTATGGTATATGCGCACAGGTGTAAAATGTTATCACATCGATTCTTCCATTTTGACATTCAGATTTCGACTGAAATCATTGCGATCCAAATGTTTTGCGTCAATATGATGATTATGATGATGAATTGGGGTATACACACTAATAGGGTGCTACTACCCCTATATATAGATGAATATCTTCAGAACTAATCAAAACCAAATCAACTCATCGTTTTTGGAAATTTATATTCAACAGGATTTTTGTGATATTAAGTAATCCAGAGAAGAAAATTCAGAAGAACTTTTCAAGATAATATTTATTATAACAACTAAACTTCCATAGATACTCAAACACAACATACAGGGTCACATAATAATATAGTTCACATCTGAGAGATAAAGCCTCATTTCATTCAACACTCCCACTCTTTATGACTGCTGGGAATTGAACACCTATGATTTTCAAAATTCTCAGGAATGTTTCTTTTGGAACTGCTTTCGTGAATATATCTGCAGATTGTTCTTCTGTGATACGTGAACCAACTGGCAACTGTGTGAATAGCCATAAAGTTTGTGCAGTCATCTCAGTTCGAAAATTTTTAATTTACGAACTTTAAAATTGTGTGAAGTATCCAATCGTGTTACCAAGTGACTATTCTACATCTGTAAGTGTTTTCAAACTCTAGTTTACGAAAATTCACCCGATTTCTACCCATAAAAACCGTAAATACTGGGTTTGTTTGGAATATTTGCTCCGCAGCGTTGCCAATATTTAAACGTATTTTCTGAGTGAGGTATTTCTACTCGATCCACAAAATGCAGAGCAATAATAATAGTGTTTTCAAATGCTGTAAAAGGCATTCAACATACTCAACTTGTATTCAATGTTTTGGAATCTTCCACAAAACATGTCTAAATAAGGTTAAAAAAAATTACAAAATCCTTGATAGTAATCATGTTTTCTGCTGTGAGGAAGAGAAAAATCAGGATTCTATAGCAGAAATAAGCATACTAGAAACAACCATACAAGATCTGACGGAAGAAGCTGAAGTAAACACATCCAAAAACTGAAAACGAAAAATTCACTCAGGAAGCTATAAAAGTGGAAAATGAACTAAACGATATAATAAATCAACAAAAGAAAATTATTGAAGAACTGAACGAACACATTCTAGTACTACAAAAAACAGCCAGGGATAAAGACTGCGAAATGAAAAATATCGGTATCCAAACAAATAGCAATAGTCTGAATAATGTATCAACAATGACTGATGAATTCATTTCCAGTGGCGTAGCCCAGAAAAGGGCTGTGAGTGGAAAAAATGAACTGAACTCAAGAAAACAATATGACGGACAGACTGCAGGTGCAGCTCATGATAGGTCAACACTCACATGCGCCGAAAACCAAGGAACGATGATAAACAATGTACATAGGAATAGAATACTGATTGTAGCGGGTCACTATGGAAGAGATATGACAAAATTTCTGATGCAACAAAATGACTATGGATATATGATTCAAACAATCCTGTATCCAAATAGCACTCCGAACATCATGATAAAAACCGCATTGAGTAACACTGAAACATTCACTAAAAAGGATATAGTTATTATTTGGACCGAAAGAGTGACTTCTGAAGTGGAAACTAGACTTGTTCCAAATATGACGCACACAAACCTCATAATAATCACACAACCTTTTCGATATGACAATGAGGCAATGAATGATTTCATTTACTCAAAAAATCTACAGCTGAAAAGACTGTTACACAGTAAGAATTCGCACACATGTATTTTAGAATGCAACAATATCCTAAGAAGATCCAATTTCCTTAGAAA